CTCTACTAAAAATACAAAACTAGCCGGGCGTCGGTGGGGGCGCCTGCTAGTCTCAGCTACTTGGGAGGCTGATCACGCCACTGCACTCCAGCCTGGGAGCACAGTGAGACTCCGTCTCAAAAAAAAAAAATAAAATAAATAAAAAAATAATAAATAAATAAATAAATAAATAAATAAAGTTGATAAAAGAAATGACCAGTTGTAAACACTGGTCATTAAATGTGACCTGTCAGTCATTGGTAACAAATGGAGCAAGTTGGAGGAAATAAAAGAGAAAGTAGAGAAGACATTTTAAAAAGGGGTTGCATGACCTTTCACAGTTTTCCTCCCAGAATTGAATTTCTTAAAACTTTCCCTTAATTACAGATATGCAGGCTGGTGAGCAACCTGTTTCTGTTCCCGCCCCCCTTCACATTCCCTCTCTCCTCCTCGTCTCTTCTTCCCGCAGAAGCTTACGTGAAGCAGCAGAGGATCCCCATTAGTGCTGAGGTGAGAAGAAAAGCAACAATGGCTGCTGGAGGTAAGGCACTCTTGATAAGTTGCCATAAGTAATCCCTGAAGTTGTTCAGCCAGGACCTGTCATTACCTGCAGAAAGAGCATAGATGTTCATTGAGGAGAGGTCAAGTAAATGATAGGGCTGGCGTTTGAATCCAAATTCAAGTTCAAATAGTTGTCCCAGATATCATGTTCTTATAGTTGTCCAGAGCCCATATCCTAAACTACTTTGCTGTGCTGGCTGTAAGATGTTCAAAGGGCAAACATTTTGTTTTTAAAGTATCCTTAGATGGATATAATTTTTTGCCTCCTTGTAAGTCAAATAGGATCAATAAGTGTTGTTTCAGATACCTTAAGGGTTGTTTCCAGTATATCGGGTACTTTTTGAAAGAGAAGCATGAATTGATAACAAGAAAGTCTTTACTAAAGTGTTGCTGCCTAGAGTATATCTCTGGGAGTCCTGCAGGAGGCTAAGGGGAGGGAGTATCCCAGGAAGAGAAAGGAGAAGGCCACCAGCCCTAAGAGCAGAGGAGGAAGGGGCCAGGGAAACTGGAATAAGGACCTCTAGGGGGAGTTTGCTGATCAATGTAAGGCTCGGGCTGTTGGGTCTTTTCATTAGCAACTGGGGGAGGAAAGTACAGTGCTTTGACCCTAAAGAAAGAAGTAGGGGAAAATGAAAGTGTCTGCAGCATGGAGTTGAGAGGATTCACCACTAACTAGCAAGACACTTGAATAGCATGTGTGTGCATGTTGGAACCTAGATTGTGGATCAGTGGACCATCAGGTTTATTGTCAATTTCACCTCCTTTGTCAAGTCTTTCCTGACCCCTCCCCAAAAACAGTTTAAATTATCCCCTTGTCCGCTGGGACATTGATCATGCTCCATGGAAGGTTGGCATCTATGGCTTTGTCTGCCTATCCGGGAGCTCCTTCATAACAGAGGCTGTTCAATTCCTAATCCATGTAGTTCAGAAAAGGACTTGGTACGTAGTAGGTAGGTTAATGCTTGTTGAACTAAATTGAACCAAACCAGAATAGTTTGCTTTCCTATGAACATTCTTTTTAAACATGAAATTCATTTTACCTGACCTGAAACATGAATCTTAAGTCCTATGAAGAAAGGAACATTCATCCTAACAGCAAACACACCCCCTGAGCGTGGTTTCGATCCTGTTTTTTCTTGTATTCCCAAGGCAGACAAAGGCGAAGGAGAGGAAGCTACTGTCTCCAACAAGAGGCAAGTTAGAGAGCATAGCAGAAATCCAGTTAGCAGCAGCTTCTGGGGTTCCATCGCCCGCCTTCGGCTGCGGCTGAAGAGATGGTAATCCGAGCTCACTCCGCCAAGGAGAGATGTCTTGTCCGCAGCTCTTTCCGCAGAAACTTTGTCTGAAAAGTTAGACAATGACGGTTTAGTTCATATTCCAAAAATCTTCTCACCATCATGAACATAAGGATAATTGACTGACTGACACAGGTGACTCCTGAAAATGGTCAGTTTCCAAAGCAAAATGTATCCCCTCCAAGAAAACAAAACCTCTATCAGGTCAGATACCTGACATTCCCTCCTACCCCTGATACCTTTCAATCGTCCCCAAGTCAATTAGTAGAAACTGTTTCATCTGTTCAGGCCAAAAAAAGTATATTCACATTAACCCCTCCCCTTCAGGGTAACCACATTCTACTTTTTGTTTCTATGAATTTGACTACTTTAGATACCAAATATAATAAATTTCTATATATCTATATATTTTTAACTCCATAATATATTTTATATATTCCTTTGAGTATACACCCAGTTATGGCGTTGCTGGGTTGAATGGTATTTCTGGGTTTGCCCAGGACTGCGCTGGTTTTAGCACTGACAATTTTGTGTCCTGGTACTGGGAACCCTCCCCCAGTCTCAGGATAACTAGAACAGTTAGTCGCCCTACCCACAGTTGAGGGAAGAAGGATATAGGAATGCCTTTCCCCCACGTATTCTCAGAATTTATTCCCTCACCTCCTTTGATTACTCAAATATCACCTTCTCAATGAGGATTTTCCTTAGATCCCATTGTTAAAATTGTACCACCCTCCTACAAACTTCCTAATTGTCTTACCTGCTTGATTTTTCTCCAAAACCTCATTAGAACCTAGTAGAATATATTTTACTTTACTTTATTATATGTATCTCCTGAATATAATGTAAGCTGTATGAGTGCAGGGATTTTTGTCTGTTTTGTTCACTGCTAAACAGTACCTAGCACATAGGGTATCCAGGTGCTCAATAAATATTTTTTGAATGAATGGTGACTTTTGGCGGATATTGTTCCCACCCGTTTTTCATTTACTAGGTCCAACTAGATAAGCTGAAAAAGCTGAATCCTCCCGTTCTCAGCCATCCTTGAAGTTAGGCTTGGCTATGTGACATAGCTCTAGATAATGAAACATAAGGGCAATCTGATGGGTAGCTTTTGGGAAGGCTTTTTGCTGTCTTGATAAAAGAGATGATGCTGCCTTGAATGTTGTTTAAGAAATGTTGCCTGAAGTTGCTCTGACAATTTCAAGCCACTAAACTAACACCTGTAGCTCCTCACCTCTGGACTACATGGTATGAGAAAAATATACTCTTATTTGAGCCATTATAATTTGGGCCTCCTATTACTTAAGACATTTATAACTGATACACTCACCTACTGTTTGCTAGGGCTTAAAGAGACCCACATCCAGTGGGAAACCACTTACCTGAAAATGGACTTAGCACCACGGAATTCAAAGAAACCAGTGGAATTAGGCCTTAGTCTTTAGAGGGCAAAAGTCTTCAGAAGAAGCTGGTCAGTCTTCTCCTTAGGTCTCTGAAGTTCCAAATAGAATTCCACGACTCCTTATGATATCATCGATTACATTTAACACTCCCCCAGTCTCCTTATTCGACAGCTAAGCACACAGACATCAATTTCTGTCTATGTATAAACATCTGTGTTATACCAAAACCCATCCTTACAGTAGTTGTATCCTCTTAGGCTTGAAGAAATCTAAGATATTTTATTCACCACATGGTATCTAACTATGCCTTATAATATATATATAGAACTTCAATAGATGGTAAATATGGCATTTCATATTGGGGAAAAAGACATTATTTAATATGATGTTGGGTGTGAGCCCTTTGCCATGCTATGCAAAATAGAAATTCTAGATGGATCAAGGACTAAACAAAAATAAAATCATATATAAAATATGACATTTTCTGTCATACTTTTATGATAGAAAATTCTATGAGTGGATATTTTTATAATCTTGGTGCAGAATAAGCTACTCTAAGCATGTCATAAAACCCAAAGCCATAAATGAAAATACTGATAAATTTATAACATAAAAATGTAAAGCTTTCATGTAGCAAAACATTGTTTAAAAAAGATAAAAGATTAATGACAAATTAAGTAATTTCACAGCATATACGACAGACATTCAATTAAGATTGTTAATGTACAAAGAACTCTTATAAACTAATTTTTAAAAAAATAGTTCTGGCTGACGCCTGTCATCCCAGCACTTTGGGAGGCTGAGGCAGAAGGATAGCTTGAGCTCAGGAGTTTGAGACCAGCCTGAGCAACATAGCGAGATCCTGTCTCTACAAGACATTTAAAAATTAGCCAGGTGTGGTGGTGCACGCCTGTAGTCCCAGTTACTCTGGAGGCTGAGGCAGTAGCCTGCCTTGAGCCTGGGAGATTGAGGCTGCAGTGAGCTATGATCATGCCACTGCACTCCAGCCTGGGTGACATGTGGGGCTTATAACCTAGATGACGGGTTGATGGGTGCACCCAACCATCATGGCATATGTATACCTATGTAACAAACCTGCATGTTCTGCACATGTATCCCAGAACTTAAAGTTTAAAAAAATGCAAATCAAGTCTAGGCAACATAGCAGGAGCCTGTCTCTACAAAATATAAAATATTTTAAAAATTTAAAAAATAATAGTTATCCATAGAAGAATGGCAAAAATGGTATCTCAGTTAGGGGTCTATCAGAAAACAGGGCTCCCAGGAAATACATAAAATGAAAGTTTTTGTAGAGTCCTCCAGTCTCTCCCAGTTTCTTGCTATGTCATGATAGAAAATCATGGAGTGGCTTGACCATTCTGTGACCCAGCCAGCAGGCCTGAATGAAAATTGGGACCTTGAACATTCCCAGGCACTGATAAAGGTATCTAGGTTGTGACCCAAAACACTGAAAGAAACTGGAGGATCTACTTCCAAGATGGTGCACTCACATGACTATTGCTAGATGACCAAAAGTCCCAGCTTGCCTGGGACTCAGGATTGGCTTCATGGGAGTTTGATCTATGCCCTGAGGGGCCCTATGTTTTGTTTGCTCTGATGTCACTGTCTTGAAATTCTTAATAATTTTATCTTTGATCTTGTGTTTTGTAAGGGAAGTTTAATGAGACCGCCTATTTCATCACACTCGTTTTCCCCTCCCCACTGACTTTGTTAACATTCTTCTCCCTTTGAGTCTCACTGAACTCCAGTGCATTGTGGGTCCACTAGAATGTTATGCTCATGGGCATTGTGTACATTCTTTGCTATTCTATTTGCACATAGTGTTTACAATGCATTTTTACATTGTGGTAAAATTGTAGTAAGAACACAACATGGTATCTGCTCTCTTGACAAATTTTTAAGTGCCCAGTGTGGTATCGTTAGCTATATGCACAATGGTGTACATTAGATCTGTAGAACTTAATTCATCTTGCATAACTGAAACTTTTTTTTTTTTTTTTTGAGATGGAGTCTCACTCTGTTGCCCAGGCTGATGGAATGCAATGGCATGATCTCGGCTCACTGTAACCTCCACCCGCCTCCTGGGTTCAAGCAATTCTTGTGCCTCAACCTCCCAAGTAGCTGGGACTACAGGCGTGTGCCACAATGCCCAGCTAATTTTTATATTTTTAGTAGAGATGGGATTTCGCCATGTTGGCTAGGCTGGTCCCGAACTCCTGACCTCAGGTGATCCGCCTGCCTTGGCCTCCCAAAATGCTGGGATTACAGGTGTGAGCCACCATGCCCAGCAGCATAACTGAAACGTTATGCCCATTGAACAGAAACTCCCATTTCTCTCTCAGTCTCTTTCTCTCTCCATATAAGCTGTTCACCTGGATTGAGACTCCATTTCTGATTTATTTTATTCAGCTTCTCATGAATTAAATCATTTTTACTCTGAGTTCAATTTAATCTGGTTTTCTAACTCAATAATTTGGTTTTCTAGAGTGTCCATCTTGCTATTCAGTGCCCCTATTTGTTTTACAAATATCAGTGCTCACATTTTTATTTCCAGTGTAAAAACACAATTCTCAAAGGCATTTGTTTGTACGTGTCAATGTTTTATTTAACTCATTACTGAAGAAACCAGCAGGAAAATAAAAGAACTAGTTCCATTAACATTTGAGAAATAGAGCTGTATATAGTCAATGGGAAAAGAATGCCAAAACAAGATTGCCAAGTTAAACATAACAGGAAATAAAACCATATCACCTTTGGGGTTAACTCTTCTACCAGGCTATAAAACAAAACAACTTATTCATTTCTGTAAGTTAGCCTCTAAATGTTAAGAACTTCACAGGGCTATAAACCATTTTCACCTTTATCATTTGTGGATTGTGACTATACTGTGACAGCTATGTTATAGTTTCCAAAGCGGTCAGCTCAGGGTCAAGCAGGATTATTAGAAAATACTCCAGCATAGAAAATAAGTAGCCATTCTTTTGCCTTTTCTCAGATTGGGATCCATTTTTCTTTCATATTAGGATCTCCTATTTTCAAATTGCCCTGGGTTGCAATCTTCAGATGCTTCCTCCAACTGCTCTATAACTTATCCTTGCCTCCAGTCCCCTTTACTAAATCAGGAGATTCTGTGTAGTCTTAGTGAAGGGGTCAGGCAGATGGAAGGAGCAGTAAACCCTTCGCAATATTATTGGGGTGGAGGGCAAGATGGGGAATCCTACTGTGTGGTGACATGGCAGGCTGGAGTGTTTTTCAGTTTTCACCAGTCCAATTTTCTTCTGACCTCCTTGATACTTCAACTGTGTAAGTGGGACTCTAGTTTTCAGTCATGGTATAAAATTTCCCATTACATTTTTGTTGTGTTATTTTCAGCAGGAAATTAGTAGAGGGAGAGAGTAAACTGAGTGCATTATTATAGCACAGTAAGCACTCATAGGGGCAGACTATGCTGTTGTTGTGTTGTGTCACAGGGCGAACCTCAAAGCTGGGGTTCAACTTGAGAAGTCACATAGGTTCTTGGCTTTGCACAGGAAGGAATTCAAGAGCGAGCTGACAGACTTAAGTGACAGCAAATTATTAAGACATAAAAGAATGAAAGGGTGGCTACTCCATAGGCTGGTTGGCTATTTTTATGATTATTTCTTGATCACCTGCTAGACAAGGGGTGGATTATTTATGAGTTTTCCAGGAATGGGGTGTGGAATTCCTGGAACTGAGGGTTCCTCTTCCTTTCAGACCATGTACAGTAACTTCTGGATGTTGCCATGGCATTTGTAAACTGTCGTGGTGCTGGTGGTAATGTCTTTTAGCATGCTAATGCGTTATGATTAGTGTATAACGAGCAGTGAGGACCACCAGAGGAAGCTTTTGCTGCCATCTTGGTTTTGGCAGGTTTGGCCAGCTTCTTTACTGCATCCTGTTTTATCTGCAGAGTCTGTTGAACTCCTATCTCAGGGCAT